ATGAAGAACAATTTAAACAAATATAAACTTATTAGTATTTCAATGAGAAGTGTGGGCGCAAGTCAGATGTTCCCACCTCAACATCTTTAAACTTACTCGCTCAACAATGCACAGTACTCACATCAACACAATCACCATAAACAGCTTGCATTCTCTGATGAATCTCCTTTGGGGTGACACCTTCTGATGTCAAGAATTCAATGAATGCATGTTGCTTAAGTCGCATTGACCGAGTCTGTGCAGGGTTCCATACTTCGCACTTTAACAACACAACCATTCAATGCTAAGGCTTCCCGCCAAAATGGAACTGTAGAGGAGAGTCTACTGAACAAGCCAGTACCTGCCGCACACCAGTACTGCCATCTATTGAGGAGTTATGTGTAAAGAACCCTTACCTTATTAGAAGCCAGGGTGCAGGGCCTGGAAAAGCCTATAGGTCTAGAAGGATAAGTAATGGGCAAGGCGAAGCATCAGCGGCCATTTTAGAATAGGGAAGATGCCATCTTAGAAAGTTTCAGAGAGGGGGCGTGTCTTAGACATAAGACAGCAGGGAATGGCCGGGATTGGTGGAGAAAAAGGGGGCGGAGTTTAGGAGAAGCTGAGAGGGAAAAAAGGAGCGTTTTAAGTTATAAGGAGATTGAATTTGGGGTTTGAAGAGAAGGGGTGTTTAGGAGTTTGGTGTTAAGGGTTAGAAGAAAAAGGCAAAGGCCTAGCCAGAAGTTTGCCAGCAGGGTAGCTAAAGCAAACTGACAGCTATTAGGAGTATAGCTGGGTAGTAGCAGGATAGAACTAGGATTAAGTTTATCTGGGCTACTGAAGAATTTCTGACAGAGATTCAGTCCTGTTAGGATTCTTGTTTTGTTTTGGGAAGTAGGAAGATAGATCCAGGTTAGGACAATCTGTGCTGCTTTAAGAATTACTGTCAGACAAACTATCCTGTCAGTATTCTTGTGTGGAGGGAGAGAAGAATCTCTTAAGTAACAAAAACAGAACTATTCATGTAACCGACACGCTTTTAAGACACAACTTTCTGAAACAGCCTGAATTTTAACTGCATTTGTTCCTGTTCTAATTAATAAACTTTGTTGATTATTGTTCATCAAAACCTGACTCAAGTGTGCCTCAAAGTTTGAAGATCACAAAAGCATACTTTCAAAGTAAATAAGCCTTTTAAAATTTGGTTAACCCTTGACAATTGGTGGTCGCTCTATATATTGGTGGCAGCATTGATTAGTGATCTGAATAGATCTTTATAATTTGGTCTCCAGCGACTGAGATCGATCTGCTAGCTTCTTTACAATTGGTGGCACCGAGTGAGATCTGATTTATCCGATAGTTATATTATGCAGGTGGAGGCATTACTTTTCATTCAACCCTCGTATATACATGGATATATCATGACCTGTTCATTTAATCTTTGCTCTCTCTACATAGTTTGAGCTTCCTATAAAGATAACTAAGAGGTGCCATTCTATGCGTGTCGTTTCTGAAATACATTCTGCTGAAATCCATGGGACTTACCCCCAGGTAAGTGTTTATATTACATTTCTGTTCTTTATAAAACAACATTTTATAGAAAGAGCACTTGTTAAAGAAAGAGTGCAGAGAGTTCCAAAAACATTCCATTAACAGTACTCCAAATATAAGCATGAAGTAATGTTCAAGTTATCTTGTTTAAACTGGATAGCACTCTATTTGGCTTTGCTCTATAGAAAAAAAATGCAACGCGTTTTCATAGGGGTGTGTGAAAAGCACTTCACACCTCTCCTCCATATGTTTAGTCAAAATATTCCAAATAGGTCTTTATGAACTGTCAGGATATATATATTAAAACCTGACCACTCCTACGAACCACCTATTAAGAGTTAGAAACACTGAACGAAACATTGAAAATTGTCCTCTGTGAGCTGCATGGCTACTAAATATAGCTTGTAGTTCCATGATTTTAAAAATAAAATTGTATTTATTTATTGAAGCCCATGTGTGCCCAGTCAGTCTGGCTCTGTTTTAATGACTGGGATGCTAGCCAGGATTTCAGTTAGCAGCCAGTTAACTATAAAAGAAGAAAAGGTTCTGCACTGTTTAAAAACACCAGAACTAAGGGACAAAGAAACTAGAATATGACCGCTAGTTGTCATATTTTTATAGTACTGCATTTCAGAGAGTTTGTCAAGAAGGGAAGTCTTCACATTCAGCAAAAATTTCTGCTCTGAGTCATCATGGCTGGATATCACCACCACATGGAAAATCTGGACTCCAGGAGTCTGGTGAGTGATGACTCGAGGAGCGGTACACCCACACAACAACCACTACAGTCACTGACATATAGGATCCTCACATTAGTCATATCCCCAAGTCTCCACTCCTTTCAACCAGCACAGAAGACATCTGATCAAGAATAGTAGAGAAATGAGCAATTGACTGGTTGGAATGTCTTGTGCCAATCCAAATACCAGGAACACGTTTCCAGCAAAATTAGTAGAGCCATATGAAGAACCCTTACCTTTAGCAGCCAGAATGTGGGCCTAGCGAAGCCTGTCGGCCTGAACAGTTAGAATGTGGGCCTAGCAAAGCCCTGGCGGCCACCTTAAGATAGGGAAACAGGAAGACGCCATCTTAGGCCAGGTTTTCTTAGAGGAGGCGCATCCTAGTCCAGTAAGCAAGGAGTTGATGGCCAGGATTAGTTAGAAATAGGGGGCAGAGCCTAATATTCAAATAGAGGGGAAAAATGTACTTTTTGAATTTGAGGCTTGAGTTTTGGCAGTTGGGATTTGTCAGTTGGGAGTTAGGTAGTTGGTTGGTGTTCACAGTTGGATAGTGCTAGATAGGAGAACTGAGTTAATCTTTGCTAGTATTCAAGGGCTAGAGGAATTAGCCAGGAATACTGACAGTAGGAAAAAGGACCTTGCTTATGGTCTGTTTCTTTCATTCCAGAGGAAGGCTAGGCCAAGGTTGTTTGGCTAGATTCCAGAAAGTGGGAATTTGGATTGGAATTATCATCAGAGATTAGTTTCCTGAGATAATCTCCTGTTTTGTTAACTCTAGATTTGAACCCAGTCTAAGAATCTAAGATTTGAACCCAATCTAAGAATTGTACATCAAACGTAACCAAAAGCTTTTGTGCCATTCACTTACAGAAACCATTACGCATTTGTACCAGAAGAGTTTAAGCCTGTTAAAGAAATGTTTTGTTATAGTTAACACATTATAACAGCCTGGGTGTGAACGTCATTGGTATTTAAACCCTCTGAGGAAAATAAACACCATAGTAACACAGAAGGGTGTTACTACGTATCCTCTACACACATATAACTCAGCCTAAATACTAAGAAAAGGTGGCAGCGTATCCCAATTGAAGAAACAGTTACAAAATCTCTCAGTTCAGACGTCATTCAAATATAGCTATACAGTTATATCTTTCCCTGTTTCATCAATTCCCCCTGTGATATTCCTTATAAAGGTTGGCAGCTTGTGGGATTCACTATTTCAAAATTCCCTGTTCCGTCTCCCTGCTAAGAGAAGATCCTTGGTGTGATATTCATTATAATTGGAAGCACTGCGGTGTGATCCTTCCTGGGAAGTTCCTTATAACTGGTGGTACAGTGGTGCGATATCTTTTACAAGCCACCAGTCATCATAAGGCTAATTTATACCAAGAATTATAAACCCCATTGACTTTGCAGATCTTTGCCCAATTCAAATATATGACAGAATTTCAGCTTCCTTCCTACACCATTAAGACTGACCATCTCATATATACGATTCACCCCCATGTTTCCACTGCCTGTCATCACAGTATTCCCAGATCACTGCTATAACAGCAATAAGTTCTGTTTACAAAGAAAGATTAATATGCCAGTGGGATTTCTTCTCATTGCTGGGCTTTCCGCTTGTTTTTGATTTATATTACAGTGATGCTATAGGGCTCTGCTTGTTTATTTATTTATAGTATTATTTATTGCTTCTCAACCTACCAGAAGTCCAGAACAGAAAAACCTTATTTAAACTTGAAACAGATAAAACAGTTAAAATATTTAAAATATAAAAACAGATAAAACAGTTAAAATATTTAAAATATAAAAACAGATAAAACAGTTAAAATATTTAAAAGTACTGAATGCTTTAGAATCCACAGACCAATGGACAAGGGGCTGGAAAACTGTCCATCAGAATCACCCTTTGGGAAGGAGCCCCCAGTGGCACAGTGGGTTAAACCCCTGTGCTGGCAGGACTGAAGACCGACAGGTCGCAGGTTCGAATCCAAGGAGAGGCGGATGCGCTCCCTCTATCAACTCCAGCTCCTCATGCGGGGACATGAGAGAAGCCTCCCACAAGGATGATAAAAACATCAAATCATCCGGGTGTCCCCTGGGCAACATCCTTGCAGACGGCCAATTCTCTCACACCAGAAGCGACTTGCAGTTTCTCAAGTCACTCCTGACACGACAAAAAAAACCCTTTGGGAATAATACTAACAACAACAACAACAACAACAAACAACAACAAACAACAAACAACAAACAACAACAACAACTTTATTCTTATATCCTACACCATCTCCCCGGAGGTACTCGGGGCGGCTTACATGGAGGCACTCCAAGTGGCCAGATACTGGTCAAAGGACATTTAATAGAATACCAAGTCTGCAAACTTTGTGTTTTGTTTGTTTGTTTGTCTGTTTTTTTATGCAATACAACTGTTTTGGTTCGCTCCTGACAAGATAAATAAATAAATAGTTTACGGCACCTGAGAGCACCGTGAAGAGATCAGGGACTTTACAAAGGTCAGCTTTATTAATAAACACAATACTCTTATTTTTAAAATCTCTTTTGATTTGGAAATTTTTCAAGTGGTTAAAATGACAGTTGTACTCTTATAATCAGCTTTATAAACACAGCTAGGCATTTGGTTAGGCACACAAAAGAAAATTTTCCTTAAAAAGGCATTGGTTAAATAAACACATCTCTTAAGTGGAAACCAAAAGTCTTTTACTAGCTTACCGTGAATGTTCCCTAGTAAAATGTCACCAGCTGCTGAAGACAGAAATGAAGATTCTGCATAAAGATATTTGGTTTTTATGAAACCATTTGTCGTAGAAATATTAACCGATGAACCTTGTAGCTTTTCTATACTCACAGTCTGTAAGAGAAAGAAATGGTAAAAGTAATATTTGCATTTGGTTTTGGCTTCCAGGCAACAAGGAAGCACCTGTTCATCTTAAATTTACAGTTATAGTTTAAATTTTCAAGCATGCTGTACAGTACATGATACTCCAAAACACACAAAAAAAGCCCATGCACCTTCATCCAAATATGATGTACCGGTAGTATAGAGCAGGTCTGCACAACTGTGGCCCCCTAAGTGTTTGGGATTCCAAGTCTTAGAAGCCCTAACCAGCTTGTCCAATAGTCAGGAATTCTGGGAGAAGAAGCTCCAAATGCCTGGAGCACCACAGATTTTGCAGTCCTGATATAGAGTATAATAAAAATGAGAAAAATATTATGCAAGATGTAAAACTGAAGATTGTGAGTGGTTACTTTTATTTATTTATTATTTATTTCTTAGCCGTCCCCTGCCACGCGTTGCTGTGGCCCACTCTGGTGGTCATGGGGGTTCTGTGTGGGAGGTTTGGCCCAATTCTATTGTTGGTGGGGTTCAGAATGCTCTGTGATTGTAGGTGAACTACAAATCCCAGTAACTACAACTCCCAAATGTCAAGGTTCTATTTTCCCCAAACTCCATCAGTGTTCACATTTGGGCATATTGAGCATTCGTGTACAGTTTGGTCCAGATCCATCATTGTTTGAGTCCACAGTGATCTCTGGATGTAGGTGAACTACAACTCCAAAATAGAAGGACACCAAACCCTTCCAGTATTTTCTGTTGGTCATGGGAGAACTGTGTGCCAAGTTTGGTTCAATTCTATCGTTGGTGGGGTTCAGAATGCTCTTTGATTGTAGGTGAACTATAAATCCCAGCAACTACAACTCCCAAATGACAAAATCAATTTTTTTGAGTGAAGGTTGTTAAGTGTCTTGTGTCCAAATTTGGTGTCAATTCGTCTAGTGGTTTTTGAGTTGTGTTAATCCCACAAACGAACATTACATTTTATTTATATAGATACTAGCTGTACCCGCCACGCGTTGCTGGGCCAACCTTCCATCCCTCTTTCTCTCCTTCTTTCCTTCCTTCCTTTGCTCTGTTTCCTTCTTTCCTTCCTTTCCTTTTCTTTTTTCCTTCTCTCCTTCCTTCTCTACCTCTTTCCTTCCTTCCCCCTTTTTCTTAACTTCCTCTTTCTCTCCTTCCTTCCTTCGTTCTTTGCTTCCTTGTTTCCTTCTCTCTTCACTTCTTTCTTTCCCTCCCTCCCTCTTTCTTTCTTTCTTTCTTTCTTTCTTTCTTTCTTTCTTTCTTTCTTTCTTTCTTTCTCCCCTTCCTTCCCTTTTTCTGTATCGTCATTTAGCTTTTCGTCATTTAGATTTTTTGGCTTTTAAGTACTTTCCTCAGTTTTATGGGTGTGTGTGTGTGTTATGAGTGATAGTCACTCATTGGTCTGTTAGGAGCATAGTGTCCAAATTTGGTGTCAATTTCTCCAATGGTTTTTGAGTTATGTTAATTCCACAAACGAACATTAGATTTTGATCTATATAGATTATTGTATACTACATTATTGTAATTATTTATTATTTACAATATTGTTGTTGTTGTTCATTCGTTCAGTCGTCTCCGACTCTTCGTGACCTCATGGACCAGCTCACGCCAGAGCTCCCTGTCGGCCGTCACCACCCCCAGCTCCTTCAAGGTCAGTCCAGTCACTTCAGGATGCCATCCATCCATCTTGCCCTTGGTCGGCCCCTCTTCCTTTTGCCTTCCACTTTCCCCAGCATAATTGTCTTCTCTAGGCTTTCCTGTCTCCTCATGATGTGGCCAAAGTACTTCAACTTTGTCTCTAGTATCCTTCCCTCCAGTGAGTAGTCGGGCTTTATTTCCTGGAGGATGGACTGGTTGGATCTTCTTGCAGTCCAAGGCACTCTCAGAACTTTCCTCCAACACCACAGCTCAAAAGCATCGATCTTCCTTCGCTCAGCCTTCCCTAAGGTCCAGCTCTCACATCCGTAGGTGACTACAGGGAATACCATGGCTTTGACTAGGCGGATCTTTGTTGCCAGTGTGATGTCTCTACTCTTTACTATTTTATCGAGACTGGACATTGCTCTCCTCCCAAGGAGTAAGCGTCTTCTGATTTCCTGGCTACAGTCTGCATCTGCATTTACAATATATTTTTATTATTTTTATTTATATAGATTATTCAATCGAATATTGTATTCTACATCATTATTGATTATGTATTATTAGAGCAAATATTTTATTTTACACTAAGTAATGGCAAAGATGTTCCCTTGACATTAAGTCTATTATTATTATTATTATTATTATTATTATTATTATTAGTATTATACAAACCCAGAACTAAAAGTTCCAGTTGAGGAGAAAAAGGCCCTTTCCTGACTGAACTTTGGACTAAGCACCACACCCAAGATGGCGGATTCGCGTCGACAGGCCAAGAGTCTCATTCCCCTCACTGGGCTGTAGCAGGAGGAGGACTCCCGTAGCCGCCATCTTGGGTGTGTAACTTTACCTACTGAGGCGTTTGGGCACGCCCAAGATGGCGGATTAACGTCACCACGTCGAGCGTCTCATTCCCCTCAGTGGCTTATAGCAGGAGGAGGTCTCCCGTGGCCTCCAGCTTGAGTGTGTCACTCTGTTTTACTGGGCTTCCTCACGCCCAAGATGGCACCTACAGCAAGTGCGAGGAGGCCCTTATAGTCGGCCATCTCCTTAGCGATGTCTGGGAAAGGCCTCCACCGGAAGTGGGAAAGGCGCAAAAGGCATTCGCAGCCTGACAGAAAAAGAACGTTGTTCTTGTGGTGCCGTGGCCTTGCCATGAGAGGAGGTATCCCAACAATAGTAATACGTTGTGGGTTTGAAAGGACTCCAACTCCCGGTGTGCACCACGGCAGAAGAGGGCCGCTTTTGGGCGATGGGGTGCCACATGTCCTCATGCCGTCTTTTGGTTTCCTTGGCCTCAGAAGGGTCTGGAGTGGGGGGTATTGGTGGGAATTTGCAGTGAGGAAGGATGGCCGTTGATGCCTTTCGTGCTGGCTGTGCCCGCATGGCGTGGCATGCGCAGTGTTCTCTTTTTTCTTAGTAAAAATTTTAAGGTCTTATTGTTATTTTGAGAGGAATTTTTTGAGTGCAGGACATAGATTGCCTTGAATGGTGTCTTGTGTCCAAATTTGGTGTCAATTCGCCCACCAGTTTTTGAGTTCTGTGAATACCACAAACAAACATTACATTTTTATTTATATAGATTATATGATAGCTTGAAGAACAGTGACACATGTTGTTATTCTGAGCTAGGAAAGCATCTATAAGGATGTACTGCCAAAACCCAGGCGGCACGTAGCACCACAACATGGCTAGAACATTACAAATGGATGGATAAACGACAAGATCTCCTAACTGTTCCAGAGGCAGCATTGGTGCTTTCCTTTCATAACAAAAGGACCATCAGTTTATCCACTGATCATAGAATCATAGAATCAAAGAGTTGGAAGAGACCTCATGGGCCATCCAGTCCAACCCCCTGCCAAGAAGCGGGAATATTGCATTCAAATCACTCCTGACAGATGGCCATCCAGCCTCTGTTTAAAAGCTTCCAAAGAAGGAGCCTCCACCACACTCCGGGGCAGAGAGTTCCACTGCTGAACGGCTCTCACAGTCAGGAAGTTCTTCCTCATGTTCAGATCTCCTTACTTGTAGTTTGAAGCCATTGTTTCGTGTCCTAGTTTCCAGGGAAGATCATATAAAAATCTATAATTTTGGTTCTCAAACCTGCCCTTGACTTATACATAAGTATATGTGATACTATGAAGTTGATCTCAACAAGTGAAGAACTCAGTGTTTTTGTCATGAACATCTGATTGGAACAGAAACAACAATTTTAGATTTCATCAGGTAACAGGATAGAAGTTTGGAGAGAGGAGAACAGATTTCTGGATATCTTGGCATGAATGCTCCAATCCTACATACTGCTGGCCACCAAATTAGTCACTGGCCTAGTGGGAAATCCAAATTGAATTTGTATCAGAAATCCAAGGGGCCTCTGTTGGTTTACGTCCCCATGTGTTTGTCTGGTTCTCCACTCATGGTTGTACTCTGGAACCTGGCCTTTCTTTCTGATGTGCTTACTAATGTGTTCTCCTATGTAAAGAGAAGAGGTTTGTCCAAGAAACTGTCTGGCATTCTGTTCTTGGCTTGTCCCACGAACTTCTGGCAAAACACGATTCTGCTGGAACTTCATGTGAATTTTGCTTTGGTACCTGGCTCAAATCTAAATCCAAACAGTGCGCCCAACACAAGGACATTATATTTTTCCTAAACTGTTGGAGAAATGTGATCAAGGTAAAAGATCAAACCAACAAGGGCAGTTACACAACATATGTAATCATTACTGTACTCTTTCAATCCTGTAGGCATCTGTGAACACAACATGGAAAAGAGATTCAACACAATGCAGTCATTCAGACAAAGCTTTAGGCCACATGAAATAATGTCTCTAACCAGTTGTGCACAGGACTAGCTGATAAGTTCTATTTGAAAGAGGTACAGAAGAACACAGCAGTGTATTGGTTGTTGTATTCAGGAATTGAATGTTTGCCTTTTTGTGATTGGAATCCACCCTGAGACCCTTTGAGGAGATAAGGCAGAATATAAATAAAGTTATTATCTATGCCAACCTAGCAGTTCGAAAACATGCAAATGTGAGTAGATCAATAGGTACCGCTCCGACGGGAAGGTAATGGCGCTCCATGCAGTCATGCCGGCCACATGACCTTGGAGGTGTCTACAGACAACGCTGGCTCTTCGGCTTAGAAATGGAGATGAGCACCACACCCCAGAGTCAGACATGACTGGACTTAATGTCAGGGCACTACCTTTACCTTTTATATAAATAAAAATGTAATGTTAATTTGTGGGATTAACAGAACTCAAAAACCACTGGACAAATTGACACCAAATTTGGACACAAGACACCTAACAACCCAATGTATGTTCTTCACTAAAAAAATTGATTTTGT